CTCAAGCTCTGAGTGGAAATTACTGATTAGGCAAACTGCTGATGTACGAGCAAAATTAGTCTGTTTACCATGTGGGAGCTTGCTAATTGCAAGGAAACGTGAGTTCCCAGCCACACTCTCCTTTGTCTGTGAGATGCTGTCTTTGCCATGACAGGGGAGTGTGTACAGGCAGAAAGAGCCCGGGCAGGGTTGGGTATGATAATTGGACTAGTTTCTGTGCTTCGCTTTCCTCTTGTTCAGTTTTATTCCTGAGATGATTCATCAAGAAGCCTCCTTGGTGCTCCATTGTGCTGTGCTCTACGCATCCAGTTAAAAGCCAATGCTGCTATGAAAATGGATCTCCCGCAGAAAAATGGCACACTCATTCATTTAGCAAAGCTTTATTGAGCACCTACTTTTTGTTAAGCATTGGGCTTGGTGCTGAGAATAGAGACAGACATGATTCTCACTAAGTTTGCAAAGAGAAAGTGTCCTATACTCAACTATGTCAAATATATTGTAAAATTATAGTAAAGAAGGATACAATTCTGAGGAGGTACAGAAGAAGAATGAGTTACTCGTGCCTAGGAAACTGGGAAACTGCCCAGTCAAGATAACATTTGAGCTGGGTCTTAAAGATGAGCTTTGGAATTTCATCTGCAGAGGAGGGGGTTTCGAATAGGAGAGGCATCATGGGCTAAAGCAGAAAGAGATGCACATGTGAACCTTATTCTGGAAGGGTTCTTTGGTCCAGCGATGGTCATGGATCTATAGGCTATTACATCTGAAAGTGGATTTGCAAATGATATAGTTCAATGGCTTATTTTACAGTTGAGGAAACCCCAGGCAGGAATGCTGGACTGACTTCTCCAAAGTCTGAAATTGATCTGCTCAGTCCCTTCCCACCAGCTCTCTCTGTGTATTTGCATCTACTGTTCTTTGTACATATTTATGCAATAGATGGAGTTACTTACATCTCATATCAGTGTGCTTTGTGCTGGCTTTTGTCCCCTTGCCAAGTCTACAAATAGCATTCTCTTGGCTCTTATACCTTAAATATATCCATCAGTCCACTAATCAATCAGTCTATCTATCAAAAATGTGTATCAAAAACTACCATGCCTGGCACTTTATACACCATTTGTTTATTTCTTCTGCTCTTTGGATCTACTCATTTCTTTGTGTTGCTTATCCTTAAAATGCACTTATTCTTGATTGATATAAGATGTGAATATCTAAATCTATATTTCAAATCTCAACGTGCTGAGAAGCATAGGTATTTCAGAGCCAAAAAGATGCTGGGATATAGCTTGATGTGCTGTTTATGTGTGTTCCAGTTTATTCATTTCCAAGAAAACTATTTTTAAGGCCCCCTGCCCAGCATCATTAGTCTGAGTTAATTAAGATGAGAACAATGAGGATTCATTTCTGACAAACCCTTCTACCTGCAGAAGAAAGTTGCCTCTTCTGCATTCTGGAATCTGGGAGTTTGGCTGCCTGTAACCAGCAGCACATGATGTTTGTGTGAGTCCCCTGCTGCTTCTCTCCTGGACCCTCCTGTGTCCTCGGCCTCACTCTCACTCAGTCTGGCCACACAGTTACAAGGCTGTCCAGCTGTAGACCTGGTCTTTCCTCTCTGCAGACCTGCAGTGACATGGGCTGATTGCATACACAAAGATGTCAGAGCAAATAACCACGTCTGGGAGCTGTGTCTGTGGAATAAAATGCACACATTGTCGAAGCGGTGGGGGAGGTTAGAAAGCAGGGATATCTTGACAGAGAGAGAAAAGTGTTGGAATTAATTCTAAACGTGTTGGATAGAAATTAGCAGATGAAGATTTGCAAGGGGAGTAAAGACAGAGGAAGAGAGAAAAGGGAAGCGAGACAGATGGAGAGGGGGAGGGAAATGGTGGAAACGAGAGCAGAAGACACAGCTTTATTTCACAGTCTTGCTTTACCCTCAGCTGAAGCAGCCTGTGCTTTTACAGGGATCCCGCTTTGCCTTTCGTCTGGTGTTCCCCTCTTAACCTCCACCATCCTCCATCAGCTCCCCTGCTCCTGGCCTCATTCCAGCCTCCCACCTTCCCCCACAGTTGTGCTTTTTGCACTCATGAGATTTCCGATTTCCTGATAAGGGGACTCTTACGAGCCTAAAAGCACCAAACTTCTGGCTCAGGCATGGTAGCAAGGAAGAGACTGGAGCTTTAGAAGGAGATCATCTCTCCTGACACTTGGGTCTGTACAGATCACCCGCTCTGAGCCTCAGCCTTTCAACTTGCCAAAATAGGATTGTTGGCTAGCTGATGCAATTGTATTGGATTTATCTTAGAATCTGGTGTGTTGTGTGTATTCAATAGGTATCATTATTATCATCGTCATCATTACTATCAATAGGAGCAGTAAGAGTAGTAGATTCTAAATTTTCTCTCTGGTGTTTTATACCTAGTAGTTCAATCTTTCTGATGCAAGTCAGGAGGTCGAAGCTGTGTGTTTAAACTCAGTTTTAGAGCCAAAAGGGACACGTGCTTCCTTATTTCCATTCCTTAATTGATGGTTGGAGTTTTGCCACATAACAATAAGTCTGTTGGATGATGTTCCATTCTGGAACATAATACAGGCAATCACCCAATTTCATTTTGAAGGAACAATTGAGATCATTACCTGTGAGATAAGACCAGGCTGGGTTCATTTTTCCCCCCGCTATTACAAGAATTTGCCTTGAAGTATCTTATCTTAATTTCCTCTCCACCTCCCCAGATTCACGGCAGCACTTCTGAACCTGTGCCTGCATGTAGTCTTAATGTCTGCAGATTATGAGTTTTTCCCAAAGTAGATGCAGATACATTGAGACTGCATGCACACTTATGCCTCTTACAAAGTTATTTTTCACCTGCCTCTGCTCCATTTTCTTTCTCTTTCTCTGTGGCTTCAGAGCCCTTGTTTCTTTACCACCCTGCTTTAGTCCCTTCTCCCCCTCCCCCCATTTATGAAAAGGAACAGCAAACTGCATTTTCCATAAAATCCATTCACACCAACATACAAACTCTTTTCAAGTGTCTTGTAATTGGAATTCCTTAAACTCTAATCGGGCTTTATTTTTTGAGAAAGAAGTCAGGCATTAGCTTGCCTAAAGTAAAACTATCTGGGGAGGGGCAGAGGTGACCTTTCTTCCCCTTCCTTTTCTATGATGTCCCTGACAGAATACATGTTCATGCTTTAATCCTTTCAGTAGGGTTGCTTCAAAGGGCAATTGAGATGTGTAATAGTTAATATTATGTGTCAACTTGGATAGGCCACAATATCCATATTTAGAGTCAAACATTATTCTAGATGTTTCTGTGAAGGTATTTTTCTTTTAGATGAGATTAGCATTTAAGTTAGTAGACTTAGAGGAAAGCAGATTAAGCAGATTACCCTCCATAATATGAGTGGGCCTCATCCAATTAGTTGAAGACCTTAATGGAACAAAACTGACCTCCTTTGAGAAACAGAATTCTACTAGGAGACAGCCTTCAGATTTGAACGGTAGCATTAACTCTTCCCTGGGTCTCAAGCCTGCTGGCCTATCCCACACACTTTGGACTTGCCAACTTCTATAATCATAGAAATTAATTCCTTAAAACACACACACACACACACACACACAGAAGAACTGAGAGGGAGAAGTAACATATATGCAAAACCCTACTGTGTCTGTTTCTCTGGAGAACTCTAATACAAGAGGTCTGGACCTGTCCTCTCTCTACCCTATAACTCTCCTTTCTTTCTTTGTCTTCTGCTTTTGCTCTGCCACTTCCTTTCCTGTTCTCTATCCCAAGACTTTCTGACCCCTGGTGGAGGGAAAGTCAAAAGCTGATTTTCTCTTTTCCCTTCCCAGGGAGGGAATTGGCTCCACAGGCAATTTAGAGCCCATGATCCAGGGAAGTTTTTTGTTGTGGTGGTTATTGTTGTTGTTGTTGGTGGTGGTGGTGGTGTTTTGCTGGGAGTTGCACCTGGCTTCTCTGGATGACAGTCACAGCAAGAAAATGGCAGTGTTTGCACAGCTCCTGCCATGAGAAACGAAAGCTGGTATCTCCTTCTGCTACTACTGGCTCATGTTGGAAATAAGCCTGTTGGTATTGACCAGGCCTCACAATATTCCATATCAGACCCATATTCTGGACACAGATCCCTCCTAAGGAAAAGCATACTCCTGCCTTCACGAAAGAGATTTGAGATGAAATCTCTGTGGGCGATTGTCAAAAGGCTCTTCCTATGGGCCTTGCAAATCAAAGACAGTTGAGCCTGGACCCGAAACAAAGAGCCTCGTTTAGAGTTAAGGAATAGATAAGGGCAGAACTTAAGTTAATACTTACACCTTTTATAACTGGTGATTTGTATGGCAGTCCCTTCCCTAAGGCCTACTTTTCACAAACACCCTCCCTCACACTGGCAGCTGAGATGAGGATAGATAAGAGTAGCTAAAACATAACCCAAAAACAAAGGCCGACACATTTAGGGCCTCCATGGTGTTTACACATTTAGCATCAAGTCAAAAAGGTTTCCACAAACAACTTATTAATCAGCTCAAAAGCATTCGTCATTTTGTGAGCCAGACAGAATGACTCCTAGCCCATCTATACACTTAACCTATGACCTAACCTTAGCGTTATTCACTTAGAACAAATATGTATGTTATCCTGTTTTTCACTAAATACGCTGTTATTTCCTTAGTTGTAAGATTTACTCAACCTCACTATGATTGGAGTAGTTCTGCAAGAATACCTCTGTAAAGCCTGCTTCTGTACACTTTCCAAAGCATCTTATCACAAAGAGTTATCCATTGTAAAAATTCCTTTTTTCTGATGTCATGTTATCATTAGACCTATAAATAAAGACACCAAAACCAACAGGACAGAGATGCCTGCCTGGTGACCAGAAAGAATCTCGGGGCTCTCTCACTCTCTCCCTCGCCGACACTGTCCATCCTTCAGGGACCCCTGGACCTGCCGGAGCGGCCTCCAGCGGTGGTTGTCTTTTTTTTTTTTCCATGTCTGAGTCTTTGTGACACTGAATCCATCCAGCAAGGTGACCAGGAGCTACAGCAGCTGGGAGGAGATGAGACAGACTTTCAGGACTACAGTTAGCAAAACTTTGGTGCTAAGTTAAGAGGTGGGTAGGGGAGCATTCCTGGTGATAAAAAGAGGTGGTTCGTAGACAAATCCTAGATATCTGTGAGGCTGAGGTGATGATGCTTACAGCCCAGCAGAATTTTAGAGATTGTCCCAGCCAATGCACCACAGCCTTTTTTGGCCAAAACCCACAATAAAATACATTTTAAAAATGTCACCACACCACAAGTCCACACCCGAGAGCCTGAGAACTCATACAAATAAATGAATAAAGTCTGCACTCTGTGATGTCATAATACTTTATGAGAGGCTTAGTCATTATGCCAAGTGATCATATATCATAGTGATTATATAAATCACAAGCTATGCTTCTGATTAATATGGTTATGTTTTATTAATTAGGATATTCATATCTGAAGCCCATCCACCTAGCTTGTTAGCCATGTGGTACAGCCACTGTTTTCCTCTCATGAAGAGCTTCTCACAATATAAATAATAGTGTGGTCCAGCATCCGGGCACAGAGCATATAATTCTAATTCTTCACCTCGAGCTAAATTGCTACTGGTAAAATCATATCCAATGTCTAAATGGGGATAAATATATTCAATTATATAATATTTGGTATGTGACTATTGAATAGCTATAATACCTGTGAGATTGCAGGGTAAGGGTTGGAGACACATGACTATTTTTTATTATTTATTAAATAAATATTTATTGAAAATATGCTGTATTCTAACCACTGTTATGGGCACTGGTAACAGAGTAGGGAACCATGAGGAGGGAGGAAAGATTTAGCATTTTCTATTTGGAGTTTCTAGAAATCACTATGACTAATCTTGCTTCTCTATGTATCAGTTTTTTAACCCAAGAGTACCTTCCTAATACAGGTGTTAAAATAATTATATTAAATTGTGAGGTGTATATTGTGTTGTTCAACACATAGTAGGATGATGGTGATGATGATGATAATGATGATGATGATAAAGATGATGATGAAGGCCACTATTAGTTTTTGAATGTTGGTTGGTTGGGCAGTTGAGGAGTATGGGTAGCTCAGTAGGTTGAGCATGCAACTCTTGATTTCAGCTCAGATCATATTCCTAGGGTTGTGGGACTGAGCCCAGCACTGGGCCCTGCACTGAGCATGAAGCCTGCTTAAGATTGTCTCCCTCTGTCTCTGTCTCTCCCTCTCTCTCTCTCTTTCTCTCTCTCTCTGTGTCTCCCTCTGCGCCTCTCCCTTGCTCCTGTTCTCTCTCTCCAAATAAAAAAATAATAATAAAAAATAAAATAAATGTTGGTTGGTTGGTCTGTCCCTGAGTGGATCCAGGGATGGGACTTCTAACCTGAAACAGTTCATCCTAACACATTTATTAATTGCTGTCCATGCACAAGATGCTGTGATTAGCACAGGCAGGTCTATGGCACCTCCAGGGAACGCTGACTTCAGACACTACATATCAATATTCAAGTCTCACATGCTGAAGTGAAATAAAACAAAACACAACACTAACCTCTTCCAGATCCACATCTCTATTTAGTTTAGAGATCTTCCTTCCTTCCTTCCTTCCTTCCTTCCTTCCTTCCTTCCTTCCTTCCTTCCTTCCTTCCTTCCTTTCTTTCTTTCTTTCTCTCTCTCTCTCTTTCTCTCTCTCTTTCTCTTTTTCTCCCTCCCTTCCTCCCTTTCTCCGTTTCTCTCTTTCTCTCTTTCTTTCTTCATTCGCCCAGAGGTGGGCTTGAAAGCCTGGCCATATCTGCTTTCTGTACTCCTCATACTGCCTCCCACCTAAGTTCAGCACCAAACTTCCACCTCCCTATTGGGGAAATTGCTTCTGCCAATATCTCCCGCATTTTCCACTGTGCAGGACCGAAAGCCTGATTGTCCATCCTTCGCTAACCTGAATTCTCTAGTATTTGACATGGTTAACCAATCTTTTCTTCCTGATTAGCCTCCTCCTTGATTTCTATGAAGCTATCAAATCCTGATTTTCCATCTGTTTTTCTAGTTACTCAGCAGACTCCTTCATGGGTTCTTCCACTCACCCCTTTAAATGTTTGTATTGCCTAGAATTCACACTAATGCTATATTCCTTCTCACTCCACTGCTCTTGTTGACTGACTTTATTCTTACCCAGGGCTTCAGCTCCCACTTTTACAGAGATGATTCCAAAATCTATAACTGTAAACATTGTCTTTTTCTCAAGCTCAAAACCTAAATATCCCCATGCCAACAGATATCTTTACTTGGATATTTCACTGGCAGTTTCCATTCAGCCTTTATCATTGCTCACCCTCCACTAAGTATCAACTCCTCTTGCTGTTTCTCTGATTGGTAATATCACCTGCTCAGCTGCCAACATCAGAAGGCAAGTGGCAGCCTGAATCCTAAAACTTCAGCTTTTAGGAGTGAGTTTAGGGTTCACTTTCTTTGAGCAGCTTTCTGACACCCCAAATCCAGTTTAGATGGTCCAACTCTGAGATGCTAAGGCACCTTTGCATACTGTTACTTTAAATCGTATATTGTACTGCAAGATCTGATTTATTTGCCTAACTAGGCTATACACTCCCTTGAGGATAAGTGATCTATCTATTGTTTGTATCCCCAGGCCCAGTAAAGTGCCCAGATATTCTATTAATATTGGTCAAAGAACCCCCAAAACCCAAAAGACAACAATTAATGACTGAATGAACTTGTCAACAAAATAGACAATATAAAACAAGTTGGCCAATAAGATAAGATTCTGAGTTACCAGTAGATAATATAAAACTTGAGTTCTAGTTCCTCCCTAAGACCAAGAGTGATCAGATTCATCTTAGCCCGGGTGAGGTACCATCCTGTTTATTGATACTTACTACGTGTCCAGACTTATGCTAGATATTTCATGTAAAACTTGTTCAATTCTTCAAAGAAAGAAAATAGTGTTAATGTTGTCCAAATAACCATTGAGGAAACTCGGTGCCAGAGAACTCTGGCCCATTGCCCACAGCCCCCAGCTTCTAGGTGGCGTGTCCAGATTTAGAGCCAGACAAATTGATCCTTTTCTCCTTCACACCTTGGTTCTCTGAGTGGAATGATTCATTTTCCACTTATTACAGTGGAAGCAAGAGTGAGACCTGGGAGGAGTAAGACTGTAATGACTCCTATTGAGCATTTAAAAAATGCATTTTATGGTTTGTAGTTCTCACTATAATGTTTTTTTTTTTGTTATTTGAGTTCTAGAATTATATGAGGTGTGGCTATTAAATAATAAGGTGAGTTTATTGTAGGTCTTGTGAAATTTGGTCCCTTTAAAGGCATCTCCATCTTTTCCAGAAGGAGGTACTTTAATGTGGTTGATGTCTTGCATTGTCCCACCATTGACAAGTTTGGGCACCAGGGAAGAAATGAGAGTGTAGTAAAGAGAGTCCCTGGTGGGGATGGGGTTGGACCCTCTGCTGTCCACCTCACTGACTTTCTACAGATTACGGATAGTGGACATCAGTTAACTCATGTAGCAAATATTTGCTGACATATACTCTGTGCCAAGCTCTAGTCCACAGTAGAGGAATCAGGGATGAGCAAGACAGATATCCTACTCTCTGGGATCTTGCAATTCTAACGGAGGAAGATAGTTAAATACATGTCCACACATGTCTGCACATATACACACACATTTCGAAAAAAAGAGTAAGATAAGGATGAAGATACATAGATTGGCTTCTATAGCTATCTGTAGATCACTCTCTATGTCTTGGGGAACACCTTACCTACCTATTTTTACCATGCATATATTGTGTGTCTTATGTTTTTCTCCTGGCTTTGCTTATTTTATTTTTTTTTTGTTGCTGTTTTCGTGCATTCCTTGGGCTATTTTTGTTGCCATATTTGTTTTGTTTTGTTTCGGTCAGTTTCATTCATTTTGGCACAGAGAAGGGGACTTGAATGCTCACTGTCACTAATAGCTGCCATTGTGCCAGGCACTATAATAGAGCTTTCACGTGTATCATCTGTCTTAATTCTCACAGCAACCCTTTGAAGAAGCTTTTATTAACCTTGTTTACAGATGAAAAGATAAAAACACAGTGGAGATAAGTAATATGCCCCAGATCACAGAGCTCATAAGTGGCAGAGCTCGGATGTGAAGCATGAATTTTAATTCATGCCCAATATTGGTGCTTTTTACTAGCTCGAGCAGATGAGTCCTGTGTTAGAAAGGATTTTAAGTGGTCTATGATGAAAGAAGAACAGATTAAGAGTCAACTGACCTGAAGTCTGGCCTCAAGTCAGCAGGTGACCAGGAAAACCGTTTGACATATATTTCCTTCATTTGCAGAAGTGCAAAGAGACAATGGGAAGTGAAGTTCCTCATTCCCACCTAGCACTGATCACATAGGTAGCTATTATATGGGAACTGCTTTAGGTTTTATGGAGTTCACTACTTGTGTCTCATTCATAGTATTGTGTTCTGGTATCCGTTGCTATTTCTTGGAACTTCCTTGAGCCTAGAAACTGAAGGCTCAGTTAATTCTTACCTCTCTGGTCACTAGCAAACATTTCTAGTTTACTACACCTCCTTGTCCTGAGGGCCCTGAGAGAGCCACCTTCTTTAGGCTAAGTTACAAAGCCTCCTTGGTCGTTCCACCCCACTGGGTCCTTACTGATTTAGGTAGGTTTCTGTAATATAAATATGTATCATGCATGGGCTTCTTACTTTATGTTTGTTCCTAATGCACACACAGAGCAGCTGGGTATAATCTTTTCCCAGATAAACACAAGCTGTAAGTTTTCTTTGTTTATGAATAACACACAGTTTGAAATTCCTTTTACAACTGGAAACAAATTTCATTAGGCACATTCAGATATTTCTGTTGGATCCAGAATTCCCCCAAAGTCACCCTCACCTAGGCAGTTCCTCCATGTAAACTAAAACCTTATTAATAACTACTTTTGATCTGTAGGTGATCTTCTGGTGACTTCTAATTCTAAATTGGCTCTTCTTTAAAATCAGAGAAATACCTATCCTGTTTCCCATATTACACACACACACACGACCTTCAAATAACTTGGGATTTTGTCCGCTCTGCATCCTACAGCTTATCTGTCCACAAAACCACTTCAGGGAAGAAACCTCTGCATGGGAGAATTAAGTACTTTGTATAGGTAATAAGAGCTAACATTTATTGAGTGCTTACTGAGTGCCAGACAGGATGCTGATGACATTACACACAGTATTTCATTTTAACACCCAGAAATACTGTATGTACTCATTATTATCATTGCCTCTACTTATAGATGGGAAACTGAGGATTAGCAAAGTTAAGGAAATTGTAAAAAGTCACACAGAAGTATTTACAGGTAGGATTCAGATAGACTCCAGTGTCCCTGTTCTAGTCCTACTACACTTTAAAACAGGGGCTTTCAATTGACCAAGATGATAGTAGACACATGACTTAAATGTGGACCATTTCACACTTATTAAGGGGAAGTGAGCAGCATCCTTTCAAAAATGGACAGATAACTTCATGGCCTCACTCTGCATCAATCCTAAAATCTGCCCGCAAGAGCTGAGATGTGGCCAAACAGGAGAAATACACTAGGAGACAAACTGAAATCCATGGAATTGCTTAGGTTCTGAAGCTTAAGATAAGGGGGATTATTTTTAATGTACAAACAAAGGCAGAGAGGCTCCTATATCTGGGATGAGGGTTATCCATGGATAACATGTCTCTCTACCCTCCCTCCCCCCACCCGAAAGAGTTTTACCACCTCTTTTAAAATAGTAAGCTTGGAAGCAGTTTTTCGATGAGATCCTAGTATTGTCCTCAGCTCTGTATGGTAAGCTTCAGACTCTTTTCTCCCACTGCCAACCTCACATCTCCATCTGGTGGTCTCATGGAGCTTTGTATTCACTCAACTCCGGCTTCTCAAAATCTATTCCTTCTGGAGACATCCTCTTCACAGGAAATTGTACCCCTCAATATCCAGTTACCAACCAAAACTTAGGAGTCATCCTCAGTACCTTTTTCTTTCTCAATCCCAAAATCCAAACTCTTAGAAAGTTCTAAACTCTGTTCATCCAAGATATACTTCTCACATTTCCATTTTCCCCCATCATCATTCCCTGATATTGTCATGATATTGTCATGTCAATATTGTCATGATTTCCTTCTTGTTCTACTCTTAAAAATCTCCCGTCTTCCATTCTGTACCCTTGAATACCATTCTCTATATGACAGCCACATTTCAAAACTATCGTTCAGTTCATGTAGCCTCTCTGCTTTAAGTTTTCTGAAGAGACTGCACTGCATTGGATGCACCTCTACCTTTTCTATTATAAATCACCACGAATATCAAGATGTCTGTAGATCTGGATCAAAGCTGTAGTTTGCACATGGGGCATTTACAATCTTTTACTCGTGACTGTCTACATGTCACAAGTTGTTATCAAAGGAAAGTGGTAGTTATGTTGTATAATCATAATTTATGATTGTGAAATGCTTCCAAGGTGCTGAGTTCTTTGGTGATGTGTTACCCATATTGCCTCACTAGTTGTCACCCTGTATTAGTCGTGTTTTGGTATTTTCTGTATTTTATAATGCCTTGACATCTGGGAGGCATGCTAATACTGGAGATACTGCCCCTCCTAGGGTTAGCTAATTCCTAGAGCTAGCAAGCAACTTGCCTTCCTTCAACCATAGGCAAGCCTTCATAGGCAAACCAATCAAGTAAAAGCCCACATCCTGATCAACCTTGTTTATCCAACTGTCACACACCAAGCTATTTCCTCTGCCCTAACTCACCCCAGGAACACTAGACACCACCACTGTAGCCCAGAGCCTGCCAAATTACTCAAACAATCTGATCCTAAGTTGGCTCAAGCTTGCCTACCTTGCCTCACTCAGTCCTTCTCATGGAGACTGCAGCTGAGGCTCTGTGGTTTTGTTTTCTCCTTGATTCTTCTCTTCTTGACCCACCTTGGTGCTTCCCCACGTGGCTCTGCACATCCTCTCCTCCTGGGAATGATAAGCAATAAATAAATTCTTCTTTCAAGGAAGCTGTCTCCACATCTGTCAACATACTAGACCTCAAAACAAAATCCGGAGGAAATTTTGAGACCTCCCAAACTCCCATGAGATAGGTATTTTTAGGTACCAGTCACACAACTGAAGGGTTAGGGAATCAGTATCCAAAGAGACAGTCTAACTTCAGAAAGAACACTCTTAGTCAGGACTCTTAATTTGTCCTCATACAATTTGTCTTCATATATGGATATAGATCTGAGAGGGGTTTAACTGGGAGTCTCCCCATCATGGTGGTACTCAAGCAGACATTTCTAAGAAAACCCTCAATATAAACCACTGTAGTCCTCGTTCATTGTGAACCTCACCCCTTGTTCTCTTTCCCATTCCAAATTGGTTTGGCTTTTCTACTCTGTAATTGGAATATTGGCCCCTAACAATGCCTTACACACGAATGAAATCTCTGCCACAAAACTGCAGACAGCAAAGATTAACATAAGGATTAGGCCACTGCGGTTGTTTCTCAGATTCACTAGCCCTTCACTAGCCCCAGAGTTCACCCATTTATTCACCCACAAATATTGAACTAGGGAAGGCAGCTTACAGAAGAGAAGAGACACAGTAGACCCTGTGTTCTAGAACTCCAGATACCTATAGTTGGGGGAAGCCAACCCAGAAAAAACAAAAGGACACTTATCCCTTCCTCAAAAGAAATACTTATTACACATTATTAAGAATATATATGGGGCACCTGAGTAGCTCAGTGGGTTGAGTGGCCAACTTCAGCTCAAGTCATGATCTCACGATTTGTGGATTTGAGCCCCATGTCAGGCTCTGTGACAGCTCAGAGCCTGGAGCCTGCTTAGGGTTCTGTGTCTCCCTCTCTCTCTGCCCCTCCCCCACTTGCACTCTGTCTCTCTCTGTCTCTCAAAATAAATAAACATGAAAAAATTTTTAATAATAAAAAAAGAACATTTTGCTTCAACTTATCTCTGCTGCTCTTCTTGTCCCTTCTGTTCTTTTCCCAGCTGGACTAGTTCCCCAGTAACTTTTCCCATTTCAAACAATCCTTGATAGACTACGTTAGCATTTAGCAATGGCTTTGTTTGCATCTCCTGAGAAGCACTAGGACCAGACCTACAGGTGGATGAGTAGGGAATGTCACCTGAGCCCACTACAACCAAGTGGCAAGTGCTGACCCAACCCCATGCCACCATCCCCCAGGGTTCAAGATACGAAGTCTGTAATTGAAGAAAATCATAAGCACAGTCTCACATCCTCAGCTTTACTCAGGTTAAAGCACTAAAAAAAGCCTTTCCAGTCTGGTGATAATGGATAAGAGCATCTCAGAGTTTAGAGGATTATGTACGATGTGTCTACAGAAAACCCAGGTACACTCAAATCTTAAGGAAAGATGTGTGTCATTAAAACTGGCGGGTGGTTCCAAAATAAGTAGTTTGGCTGCTCTTTGAGGCCTGAGCCTCTCTTCTGGGCATCCTTTCTCCTCCCACCGTTGTAGCCCAAGTGCTCAGGATGAGTGTTCTGCCTAACTCCTGCCTTCATTACTATCTCCTCTCTGGAAAGAAGATGTTATGTGTTTTTTTTTTTACTATATTAAAAGATATAAAGCATACATAGCAACACTAGTGATAAGTATTCTTTTTTCCTGAGGTGTGATGCTCTCACTAAAAACTTTAGACCTAAGAATGTATGTGGGCTCTCATTTTACAAGAGAGGACAGAACAGTATTTATTTGTGCTCAGTCCCTCATAACCCAGTACAGGTAGAATCTTTAGAAAGCTAAAATGATGAACAAGAGTTTAGAGCTTACTTAGAATTAAATTCCATTGTTCAGAGCCCTGCCTAATTTAACACAAGGATGTGGAAAAGAATAAAGAAAATGCACATAGCAACCATTAAATTATGATGTAGGGGTATAGGCTATGCTTCCATCAGGTACGAGGTGGCTCCGGCCCGGAGCAAGAGAAGAAAAATGACAGGAGAGGAGCAAGGAAAGCCTGAGCACTCTGGCTAAGAACTGAACTAAATTAATCAAAGCCCCAAAGAAACTGATAGGTTGGCTTTCAGAATGGCCTATCCACCAAGTCCCCTACCAATACCATTATAGTGTCAATTCATGTTGTGAACATAAAGCCATAGATGCAGTTTCAGAAAATCAACCCTAATACTTTTTAGGATCTCCATGGGATTTTCCTATCTTTTACTTTTTTACAAGAAGATGCTTGAGTAATAAGAATGGAGTAGGTTGAGGACTATTCTGTAGGTATGAAGAAATTCAGAGTTGCCAGTTTGGGGGAAAGAGTCTGGAGCCAGACGTAGCTCAAAGGTGGGTCATCTGAGCGGAGGGTGTACTTCATCTTTTTGCAAAAGCTCCGGGGAGCTCTGCCTTGGGACTGTAGGCAGCTTGGCGGGTGGCAAACAGCGACCGTGGCGAGCGCGCACACACCAGTTTAGCCACCTCCTAGGAAATGAGGATCAGTTCTCCAGCCCAGGGTCTGGCAACTTCGGCTTGCGCATGGGGAGGGAAGGTGCGAGCATCACTTTTTTCCATTTGCTGCTTCCCCCCCCTCCCCCCCGCCCCGCTACCGAACTCTGTCTTCCCTCACTCCCCTCCCCCTCCCCCCTCTCCGCCCCTTGCAGGAGAAGCCACCTAGAGGGGCGCGGCATCCTCTCGGCTGGCTCTGGTGTCCGGGGGAGAGCGGAGCCGGCTGCTGCACCGGCCTCACGCCGCTCCGCGGTACAGCCCGTGTGGGCGCGGCGCGGCAGGGGTTAAGGTGGGCGCCCGCGCCCCGCGCCCGGAGCCCTGCGCCCGCCCGCCAGAATGAGCGCGCAGTCCGCCCGCTCGCTCGGCGCAGGCCCCGGAGAAAGTGGCGGTCAGTGATGGAGCCGCTGCCATGACAACCCCGGCGGTCGGGGCCCGCGCGCGTCGGGGCTGCTCCCGGGAGGAAGGCGGCGCGGAGGCCGGGGGCGGCCGCTGAGCGTGGCGTCCGCGCGTCCCCGCGTCCCGTGCCGCGTCCCCGGAGGAGGCGGGGGCGCCGTCCGCCAGCTCCCCGTGCGCCCGAAGCCTGCGCCGCGCGGCGCTCCGCGGGCTGGCGACGCGGGCCGGGCCGGCCACCAGTCGCCGCCCGCGCTGCGGTGGAGGACGCCCACGGCACCGACGGATACTCGGGCTGCGACGGCCGCCGGTCCCCGCGCCGGAACTTTTTGCCGCCTTTGGGTTCCAGATTCGAGACTCGGGCTGGTCTATAAATACATCTATACATGTGTGTGAGCTAATAAAGCATTTTCTCCTCTCCTTGAAGCGGCAGGATTTAGGACATCTCCTTTATGTCAGAGACACTTGACTTGCTTCTTTGGGTTATAAACTTTTGATGCCAGACCTCTGCAGAACGTGCCCAACTGAATCTTAAAGTAGCATCTTGAAGAGAGAGGCAGAGAAAGAGCAATCTGTGACCTTCATCCCTGCACCTTCCTTCTTTCTCTCCCTTCCTGGCTGCCTCCCTCCTCCCCAGGGGAGCGTCAAGAAAGCTCTTTTTGGATGCAGGAGGGGGCATCTGGTTCTGCTAGGCTGGAAAGCTGAGGCAGGATTTGAGGAAGAATCATTAGACTCCGGAGAGCCTGGACTCGTTTCTCCTCCTTCCCCCTCTCTGCTTCTGGCTTGTTCCATCCCCTTCCCGTCTCCCCACACCACCGCCCGAGACCCGCTGGTGTGCGGGGCGGGGGACAAGGACCGTGCCGCTGCCGGAGTTCTGGGAAGTTGTGGCTGTCGAGGATGGGGGTCTGTGGGTACCTGTTCCTGCCCTGGAAGTGCCTCGTGGTCGTGTCTCTCAGGCTGCTGTTCCTTGTACCCACAGGAGTGCCCGTGCGCAGCGGAGATGCCACCTTCCCCAAAGCTATGGACAACGTGACGGTCCGGCAGGGGGAGAGCGCCACCCTCAGGTAGGGAGCTGTACTTCAGCGGGGTACTGAGCCCCTCGGATGTGAGGATGTGAGTAGGGGCCAGCTAGCCAGAGAGAGAGAGTGTGAGTGAGCAGAGGCTTGGGTGGGGGATTGGGGCATGCGACGGGCCTTTCTTCAGGCCCAAGAGTTGCCCACTTGAGGACTATGGCTGCTAACACCTGTTTTCCTGGACAGGTTTGTCATTTGTTCTAGCTTTTCTGGTCCAGGATCTGATCCGGGACACTGAGGTGGGTGCTTGGGACTCCGTGTATCTATGGGGACATGAGTTGGCTAGATTCACTTTTGCCCAGGCACCAAGGTGAGGCCATGAGAGCCCTGCAACTACAGTAGTGGGGGTTAGTCTAAGACTACTGAGAGCTTTGGTGGCTTTCTCACAAAGCAGAGGTTATGTGATAAAGCAAGACAGTCTTCCGGATGGGGTGGCTCTGGCTCTACCAGAGAGATACCTAAAATGTCAGGCTCTGGAATTGCTTGTGCTGGGCCATGGCCCTTTATGAGTCTGCTCAAGATGCAGCCATCCATGTCAACCGTGTGTGGTGCTCCTGGGACCCCTATTATAAAATTATGAGGTCAGGTTTTTAAAAAAAAATTCTTAATGTTTATTTATTTTCAAGCGACAGAAAGACAGAGTGCGAGTGGGGGAGGGGCAGAGAGAGCGAGGGAAACCCAGAATCCGAAGCAGGCTCCAGGCTCTGAGCTATCAGCACAGAGCCGGACACGGGGCTCGAACCCACAAGCTATGAGATAATGACCTGAGCCAAAGTCGGAGGCTTAACCAACTGACCCACCCAGGTGCCCCAGGTCAGTTCTATCTTTGCAGGCTCCGCCCAGGAGCGGAAACACTGTAGCTATTATGCAACTGACATCACTCCTGTGCAAAAAGCACAATAGAAAGCTTTTTGTTTTACCTTAATGAGTTACAGAGAATCACTTACATGCTCCAGGCAGAGGGGTGGAGATTCTTGGAATATGAACCTTTGGGGACAGGGCCTGCTGCAGCAGAGACTTTAATAAAAATGCAGCCACCACTTTCCACCAGCTCAGCAGATATCATCTTTTATCCTTTTAATGAGGCAGTTCTGGTCCTAGGAGACAGATTCAGGGACGTCCCAGCTTAACTCTGGCTCACAGTGTACACAGGCTGAATGCGTTTGCCCTGTCTGTGACTTTGATGGTTATGGTGAAAATAAAACATGCTGTCCCAGATTCTGCAGCTGAGAAGCCTGGCTTCTCCAAGGAACAATTGAGGTTGGGGCTTCCTTCCTGTTTCTTTGGCTTCCCTCATTGAACTCTTTCGGTATCTGGACAAGCTGCTCCCTGGGAAAGGAAAGATGAGACCTCTTGGGAAATTAGCTATTCTTCCCTAAGCCCCAGGCTAAGGTTGGATTCTTGCCACTTTGGGAGATTCTTAGCTGCATCTTCTTTTGAGGAAGAGAATGGGTTTCACAGTCTTGTCTGCTGGTGCCCTAGGGGCCCCGGAAGAAGAGAGAAAAAGGGAGACTAGGGATAGACTCCCTTCCCTAACAGCAGGAGGGGAAACCTTTCAAGCCACGTGGGCACTCCTCTGCCTGTCCCAGACTAGAGTGTATTGTCTAAATCAGTGTTTCAAGAAGTTTTGGAAGCCAGCTCCCTGAGAATTGACTTGTGAGATGTGCAGTTGCAACAGACCTGTCGGCTCAAAGATAGGAGTGGTACACGGGCTACAATACATGTTAGTTAACCAAGGAAATGTTGGTAAATGTTAGCATGTGTGAGGGGATGTGGATACTGCCACCCACCTGTCTTTATCTTATAATTTAGTA